AATCTGAATTAAGAACTAGATTTTGACTTATTCCACACTTATTCCTCACTAAGAACTTGAATTTGACTTATTCTGCACTTAATCTGAATTAAAAACTAGATTTTGACTTATTCCACACTTATTCCGCACTAAGAACTTGAATTTAACTTGTTTTGTACTTAATCTGAATTAAGAACTAGATTATGATTTATTCTACTCTTATTTCGCAATAAGAACTTGAATTTGACTTGTTCTGTACTTAATCTGAATTAAGAACTAGATTTTGACTTATTCCACACTTATTCCGCACTAAGAACTTGAATTTGACTTGTTCTGTACTTAATCTGAATTAAGAACTAGATTTTGACTTATTCCACACTTATTCCGCACTAAGAACTTGAATTTGACTTGTTCTGTACTTAATTTGAATTAAGAACTAGATTTTGACTTATTTCACACTTATTACGCACTAAGAACTTGAATTTGACTTATTCTGCACTTAATCTGAATTTAGAACTAGATTTTGACTTATTCCACACTTATTCCTCACTAAGAACTTGAATTTGACTTATTCTGCACTTAATCTGAATTAAGAACTAGATTATGATTTATTCCACACTTATTCCGCACTAAGAACTTGAATTTGACTTGTTCTGTACTTAATCTGAATTAAGAACTAGATTTTGACTTATTCCACACTTATTCCGCACTAAGAACTTGAATTTGACTTGTTCTGTACTTAATTTGAATTAAAAACTAGATTTTGACTTATTCCACACTTATTCCGCACTAAGAACTTGAATTTGACTTATTCTGCACTTAATCTGAATTAAGAACTAGATTTTGACTTATTCCACACTTATTCCTCACTAAGAACTTGAATTTGACTTATTCTGCACTTAATCTGAATTAAAAACTAGATTTTGACTTATTCCACACTTATTCCGCACTAAGAACTTGAATTTAACTTGTTTTGTACTTAATCTGAATTAAGAACTAGATTTTGACTTATTCCACACTTATTCCGCACTAATAAATTGAATTTGACCTGTTCTGCACTTAATCTGAATTAAAAACTAGATTTTGACTTATTCCACACTTATTCCGCACTAAGAACTTGAATTTAACTTGTTTTGTACTTAATCTGAATTAAGAACTAGATTATGATTTATTCTACTCTTATTTCGCAATAAAAACTTGAATTTGACTTGTTCTGTACTTAATCTGAATTAAGAACTAGATTTTGACTTATTCCACACTTATTACGCACTAATAAATTGAATTTGACTTGTTCTGCACTTAATCTGAATTAAGAACTAGATTTTGACTTATTCCACACTTATTACGCACTAATAAATTGAATTTGACTTGTTTTGCACTTAATCTGAATTAAGAACTAGATTTTGACTTATTTCACACTTATTCCTCACTAAGAACTTGAATTTTACTTATTCTGCACTTAATCTGAATTAAGAACTAGATTTTGACTTATTCCATACTTATTCCGCACTAAGAACTTGAAATTGACTTGTTCTGCAATTAATCTGCACTAAGAACTTGTATTTGACTTGCTCTGCACTTAATCTGAATTAAGAACTAGATTTTGACTTATTCCACACTTATTACGCACTAGATTCCGGAGCATCTGGCAGACTCGAGAATTCTGCAGAATTCTGGAACACAGTTGTGCAGAATAATTCTGCAGAATTCTCTAGAATTCTGGAGAATTATTTATCAGAATTCTTGAGAATTTTTTGAAAAATGTCACGCGACACATTCGCAACATAATTTCAGAAAACAGAATTTTTTAACAGAATTCTGGAGAATTCTGTAATAGTTTTTATATAAATTGTCAAAAACACCCTATACTATTTAGCATTAGCTATTTAGCTACAACTGTAGATAACAGATGAATTTATGTACTTCGTTACGTAAAAATCATATTAAAGCTGTAATTTACAGATGGTGTTTATAGCTTAGCTGCTGAGCAGTACTTACAGTTGAGTTTACAGTTTTATAAAAATCAAATTTTTCACTCTGGATGTTAACATTTAAAATATAAATAAAATAATACAAGAATAAAAACTGGAAACAAAAACCTAAACAATGATAATAAAAAAATTCTCCAGAATTCTGATAAATAATCCTCCATAATTCTGGGAGTTCTGCAGAATTATTCTGCACAACTGTGTTCCAGAATTCTGCAGACATCTCGAGTCTGCCAGATGCACTTCACCCTTATGAAGTCGATCATATTTGAAGTTCAAAACATATCATATTCACACCAAATTTTTCAAAAAGTTATTCATATCTTAAAGAATTTCATATCTTTGTTTCATATGTAAAAATAGTTTGAACGAAATTGCACATAATTGAACGAAGCTTACAAAATTTTTTACCATACTGTAATCTATTAACAGTTGAACGTAAAAAAGGGGAGTTCAACACACCTGTAACCAATAAACCTCATATAATCTTTATTTCTTTACAATAAGACTAAAAAGTAGAAAATAAAATACTTAATAAAAAAAACTTTTTAAAAAAACTACGTTTTTCACGTGGACTAAAAAGGAGAAAATAACTTTTCTTCTTAGTTGCAAAGAATTTGGTATTTCATTTTCAGATTATATTTGATAAATTTTTATATCCTAGTCAATATCGTTCACAAAATTTCGAATGAGTTCACCTGGATCTTATCGTATAACTCAACAACAAAAAACGTGGGCGCATTAAGTTAAGTTTATCATAGAGTAGTGATTTCAAACGAACATATTTCTCCTCTAATTCAAGTTTTTGATTTTTAGTCTTTTTGATAAAAGCGTGTTTTTTAAAAAGTTTTTTTTAACATTTTTTTATTTGCTACTCTTTAGTCTCAATCTTTTAATCGAATTTCGACCACAACAATTCAAATTCAACTCCACTTCGGTGCACTTCGTTTCGTTCAACTTTTTATATATTCCCATTTTTTAATGGGTAATTAGTAACGACTGTCAAAATTTTTCATTCGTTTTTATAATTTAAGTCATACCTGGAAACACATAAAACTCTTCAAAAAAATGTCCTGAACTTCAATTATGTGCGCTTTCTGTGTTTTTTAAACCATTCATTAGTAAAGAACATTAAAAATCAATCGTAAAGATTTTGTGTTTATCCGTACCATTCCTACTACATTACGCGTGGATTCTTAGGGGCCGTTCACTTATTACGTTCGCATTTTAGGGGGGAGGGGGGGTTTGAAAAATTGTAACAAAATGTAACAAAGGGCGGGGGGGGGGGGTGGTGTCAAGAAGTATGTAACGTTCTAATTGTCGTCTGTCTTTTAAGAAAAACATCCATTTAATTAAAACTTAATTAATTATCGAAAATTGAATAAGATTTGAGCTCGTAAATGTCACAAAAATTTAACGGAAAGTTTTAATTCAAATATTTTACGATTATAAAAAATTTGAACTAGTATATTTTGGTGGCAAAGCGTTTTGTGTGACTCAGGAAGAAAATTTTCAAGAAATTAATTAATTTCTCAGCAAATTTCCACTGAGCATCTACATTTTGCTTAATTATATGATGCTCCAACATGAAAGGAACAGATCTTGTTGATCAATGTCGCTTAAAAACTTATATTTTTTGAGATAATTGAATTTTTAGATGTTTTCCGCTAAAATGTGACTCAGGAAGATTTACAAAAAGTCAAATTTCTCTTTAATTAACGATTATAGAGAAGCAAATTTTTTTAAAGATCTTCTACTCACATCATTGCATTTATTAAAACATTCAATCTTTTTTTAATAATGTGACATAAGAGAGAAATAATTACTTTAAATTGAAAAATTTTGGAAAAAAAAAATTTTTGTTTCGTGGATTTGCCCAAATCTAAAGTAAAAATTTAAAAAATCGATATAAAATTAACGGTTTTAAAAAGTTCCAATTCAAAAACCTTACAAATTGTTCGGTTAAATAACATTTGCAAGGTTCTCATATTCTTGTTTTGTTTCAAAAACATATTTTTTGTGAATTTGATATTGATGTTTATTGTTACCGAAGGTATTACTGATCATATGTTTAGTTACACTAAATTATTTAAAATATACACTTAATTAAAAAGTAAGTTAAGTTTGAACTTGAGGCCAATCGCTCGAAAAATCGATAAAAACTTAAAGCAAACGAAATCTGAAAAAAATTCGCGTACTTGATGAACATTTCGGTTAGGATGTTTTATGGAGCTTTCGTATAGGCGCATAAGGTATATGAATTTCTGTTTAAAAACCAGAGATCGAAGCCGATCGGCTTAAAATCGGCTAAATTGAAATTCTGAGCTCACTATAGCTACATGCTGACAAAATATTACACAGAATCATAGTAAAGCATGTAAAGTTCAATTTAAATACTTGAAATGGGTGTCAAATGGCTTTTTTCTATCAAAAAAATCAAAAATTGAGTTAAGCCGAAAAAATCGGCTTTGATCTCTGTTAAAAACAATATGAATATGCGTTGAAATAAATTAAGTAATCTAAAACACATAGGTAAAGTTAAGAAACTAGGTAAAATGTGCAAAAAATTATCAAAATTTTCATTGTTTTGATACATTTTTTGGACTCTGGAACAGAACATGTGATTTTGCATGAATTCTTTGCCTCGATTTGAATAGATTCGATTTGAGTAGAAATTTTTTAGAACAAAACAACTACTCAAATCGAGGACCCCCAGTAGTATCAATCAAAACATGACCTATTTAGCTGTACAGTATTTTGATGTTTAAGAAAAAAATACAAAAGAAATTTAACCGTCTTTTTAGAATTTAAAAAATTGTCAAAATAAAATAAATTATGAACGTTCAGGGGGGGGGGGGGGGGGGGGGGGTTGTGAGTTGTAACATATTGTAACAAGGGGAGGGGTGAAAAAAGTCGGTGTTTTGCGTAACGTAATAAGTGAACGGACTCTGAACAAAAACAAAACGTTCATAACTTATGAATACGGTGTAGATAGAAAGAATCTTTGTACCACTTGAAATTTGAATTTTTATTTCCAAAACCAAAATTTTAATCCATTTCGTTCTGATTTTGATTCGGGTCAATGTTAGCGAGTTCCATTATACGCTTTGTTTTCTCATCTTGTTTTGTAGCGAAATTGAAAAACATTGTTTTTGTTTCACTTCGTTCTTTCTTTAATTTCTTGCATTCCTCAAATAACGTCTTGTTATCACATTCTAATGTCTTAACTCTTTTAGAACTATCAAAAAAAAGTCATAATTATTAATTAAAAAAGAAGTACTAAAAATCCTTTACTTACACTGCCTTGAGTGCCAAATTTTTTAATGATTCCATTCTTTACTTTCTCTTGATGTCTGAAGTTCTGATCTTGATCAAATTAAATGTTTTCTTATCGATTTTTAAGTTTTTTTTTCTGAACTCAATGAATGCTTTAATTTTTTCTGAAAGAAAAAATTATTTTTTTCTCAAATTTTGTATACACAGGTATTCCCGGTGACAATACAATATTGTAACACTTTGGAACCACAAAAATGCTTAATTATAGTACAATTAATGTAAAACTTTTTTATATGGGAAAAAATCCAATGTCAATGATATAAAATTTTGATTTGTTTAAAATATTATACTTGAAATGCTCAAAAGTCATTTATATGATTCATTATAGTTTAAATGAAGTAAATGAGTGATAGTGTTTGTCTGACGGTAAAATTTTTTGTTTTGTGAAATTATTAAGTATTTAAGTAAATTAATATAATAAAAGTGCGCCTATACTTTTCCTCTGTGGTTCATTGAACAAAAAAACATTAAGAACAGTGGAAATACTGACAGTTTAATTAATTAAAAATTAAATAAGAAAAGACAAAGGAATACTTTGACAGTAATTTTACACGTTAGATTGAGTAAACTAAGGATCAGAAAGTGACCAATTGAATAACTAAATACTAGAACATTTTGATGCAATTATAATATAACAACGGTGAATGTAGTTTAATTAAGAATTTGAGATTAAAGGCATTTGAATAGAAACTAATACATATGAAACGCGTGCGCTGAAAGTGGTGAATTTAAAAACTGAGTGGTGAATTTTATATAGATATGAATGTGTGGTGTGGTGAATAAAATTTGAATCTAAAACTAACGGTTTAACAACAAAAATCGAAGGAATTTTCTCTGGCTTTAAAAAGTAGCATATTCTGTTCAAATCACAAATTTCAATCGCATCAGATACAAAGACTCCCACTAGGCACAATAAAAGGCTGTTAGTTGATTAAGATCACTAACAGTCCGGTGCTCTGCACGGTACGTTATATGAAAAAAGCTGAAGAGGTACTTTTTGCTGCGATAATCTTGTTATATTTATTTTCAGCATAAGGAATAAAGTGGGAGTCTCAACATGCATCGTACACCACCAAAGATGGACGTAGACAACAACGAGGTTTTCAGTACACCCCGCAACCAACCCAAACCAAATGTGATGCACACTCCGAAGAACCTTTTTACTTTTCAATGCAATTCAAGTGAGACAAATCCAATAAATGCTCCAGGCAGTGCAAAAAGAGGAGCTGAAAATAAAGCAGAAAGATCAATTAATGATTTATATGATACACTGATCACTAAGTTTGGTACTCTTTCAAATGAACTTAAGGAAATGAGAAATGGTCAATGCCAATTTGAAAATAAGCTAGACGAAAAAATGGATATGCTGAATAACAAAATGAATATGGCAGATGAAAAGCTAGTAGCGATAGACCAGAAGATTAACATAAATGAAAAACGGATAGATAATGGAGAAAGAGCTGTAAATTACTTGATGCAAGAAAAGCTTATGAATCGAATGGAAATAACTGGATATGAGTCTAATTCACGCAATGATAAAAATACGCTTCTTCAGGAAGTGATTGGAATTATGAGAAATCACAATATTCAATTTGAAGCTGATGAAATTAATTACGTATACAAAAGAACAATTAATAAGAATAAGAACGGTAAGGTCGTTCAAGCACCACTGATCGTCGTCGATTTTAAGAATTTTGAAACAAAAGTTAGAGTCTTGAAGGAAAAGCGCAGCTCAAATATTAAAAATGGCATATTCTTTGATAATTGTTATACAGCTGCAAATCGATCGCTTATGGGAAAAGTTAAGAAGACAGCAAGAGATAAAAACTTTAAAGTATACCTAAATAACAATAGGATTCATGTAAAAAAATCAGATAATCAGATACATACTGTTGAAGTTGAGTCAGACTTGAATATCATTGAATCATGGCCACCAAATAAAGGAACATATAAATCAAATACAAATAGAGCATCAACATCAGCATCTACCTCTGCATTATAGCAATCAACATCTTCAGTGTCATCGTTGAACTACAGCATATGTCCTATTTCCACAGAAATTCCATCCTTAAATAAAAAGAAAATTGAGAAGTATTTTGATAGTTTCAATGAATTTAACAAGTACAAAATCGATGATAAATTGTTTACAATCTTTCAATTAAATGTACGTGGCATAAATAACACACATAAATTTGACAGAATTAAATTATTGCTGAACAACTTGAATTTCAAATGTGATATGTTAGTACTAGGAGAGACAAAGCTGAAGACTAGATTTCCCTCTAATCTGTATCACATCAATGGATATGATAAATACAACTGCTGTCGTGATTCAAAAAATAGTGGTGGAGGTCTCCTAGTTTATGTGAAAAAGGGAATTATAATCAAGAGTGTGACTAAAGATTCAAATACCCATGAAAAGATTAAAATTATAGCATGTATCAATGGAATTGAATTTAAAGTAATATGCTACTACAGGCAACCTACCCCAAATTCCCTAGCACCGTTCATGTCCGATGTTGAAAATGAGCTAGCTGATGGCAATTCTAATACGATAATAATAGGAGATGTGAATCTTGATGCAAGTGGTGATAATAAAAACTCAAATGATTACCTGAACTTATTGAATAGCTACGAAATGAAAATTACAAACAGCGTTATGACAAGAAACGCCAGTCAAAGAATAATAGATCACATGACTTTAAATTATGATGAATGTCAGAATGTGTCGAATTATACTATTAAAACTCATTTGAGTGATCACAATGCAGTCATCTCTCAAATTTCAAGTATTAAAACAGCTAAGATACCAAAGATAATTGAAAAAAAAATGACAAATTGGACTAAATGTAGAGAAATTTTTGATATGTTGTCAGTAGATGCCGACATTCTTAATACGCCTGAACCAGAAGAAATCGCAACAAAATTGATTGAAGTAACACAGAGAGCAATCAACAAGTCTACAAAGACCTTAAAGTTTAGGATTTCAAATGAAAATAAAATATGTGCCTGGTATAATCTAAAAATTTTGAAGACAATGAATATGAAGGACAAACTGGCTAAGAGGCAAAGGAGAAACAAGAAAAATGAAGTGACCAAGAAGCGCCTTAAGCTTGCATCTTTAAGACTAAAAAACATAATTAAGGAAGAAAAGCTCAAATACATTCATAAATCCTTGAGAATAAGAGATAAGAGGAAACTTTGGCACAATATAAATGAGGTATTAGGAAGGAATAAAGATGATTTAAACATACGAGCTATAAGCAATGATAATGGTGACTTAATATGTGACAACAAGGAAATTGCGGAGACTTTCAACAATTATTTCATTGATTGCATTACTTCAATGCAACACATTACTGCCAGCACAAAACCGCCAATTTCAAAATCAGTAATGCAATCAATGTTTCTTGATGAAACAACAGAAGATGAGGTCCTTGATGTGATTCAATCATTAAGAAATAAATCAGCAGCGGTAATTGATGGTATTACTTCAATTCATGTTAAGCAGCTCAAAATTGAATTAACGCCATATATTGTGCATCTAGTCAACAGAATATTCTCAACAGGCTATTTCCCACAAATCTTTAAAACAGCTGTAATCGTTCCAATACACAAATCAGGTAGCAAAACAATGATAAATAATTTTCGTCCCATTTCAGTGCTTACTACGTTCAATAAGATTGTAGAGAAAATTATACATAAAAGATTGGTCGATTATACTGAGTATGCAGGAATTATGTACCGTCACCAATATGGTTATATCAGGAAGTCAGGCACAGAAACAGCAGCGCAAGAACTTGTTGACCACGTAAGAAGAGTATTGGATAATAAATCAAAGGCATCACTTGTTTTCATGGATCTACAGAAAGCCTTTGATACTGTCTGTATCGATAGATTGCTTCACTGTCTTGAAACGTATGGTATAAGAGGAACAGCACAATGTCTCTTCAAAAGTTTTCTTTCTAATCGTAAACAAGTAGTCAGGATTGGTAACAGCTTCAGCAAATCAAGATCATTTACAAGAGGAGTAATACAGGGAAGTACGGTTGGAAGTTGGTTATTTATACTTTTTATAAACTCAATTTCCAATCTTGACACGCATGGGAAGTTTTTTATGTATGCAGATGACTGCGTCCTAGTCAATGAACATTCACCAAATGAAAATGTAGAAGATAAAATATGTCATGATATGCAACTGACTATGGACTATCTTTATGATCAAAGGCTATTTCTGAATATTGAAAAGACTAAATTTATGATTATTCATCCACCAACAATGAAAGTCGACAGCATGCAAAAAATATCGATCAAAGTTAGATCCAGATCAGACAAGGAATTAGCTACCTGTACTATTGAAAGAGTCTTCAAAATGAAATATTTGGGTCTAATTATTGACGAGTGTCTTAAATGGGAAGATCATATCGATCATATAAAGTCAAAATTAGCAAGTACAGCAGGAATTTTATGGAAGTTGAGGAAGACGATACCGACCGATACGAAGAAACTCATTTATAAATCGCTCTTTGAAACTCACCTGGCATATATGATTACGATCTGGGGAAGTGCAATTGACACTCTTATACAGCCACTTCAAATCATTCAAAATAGAGCTCTCCGAAATGTCTATGATCTTGATAGACTAATGTCACGACAATTAATGTATGCGGATAAAGTTGATGGAAATCTACCAATTCGTGGAATCTTTATGATGAAGTCTGCTGTAATGACGTATAATATTATCCACAAAAATATATTCACAAATGTATCATTCGTCATGTCTCAATCTAAAAGAAGAAAATATATAGTTCCAATGAAATCCAGAACAACTTACGGAACGAAAAACTCCAACACGATTGGACCAAAGATTTTCAATAGCCTGCCAAAAGAAATTAAGGAATCCAGACATGTTCATGCTCTAAAATGGTCACTTAGGAGACATCTTAACGATCCAGTGTTCATTGATAGCTGTTTTTGTGGCGAATTCCTGTCTAAAT